ATACTATGTATGTGATATTTTCGATTATGACATAAAAAGTTGAGGTTCAATCTTTATGATACCAATAATTTCGTCTTAACTTTAAAATTTCTATACTAATAGAAAATTCAAATCTTCAAGATACTTTCTATTATGCATAGTATTATTAATATTATAAACTAGTAAGGGATTATTGGATAGTTTGTAATATTTATTGGAAGATAATTAGTCAAATGTAACAGTTTAAGGATAAATAAAACTCTTAAAGAAAAAGATAAGCATTTACAACAAACACAACTATTGAAAGTTGTAAATATGTCTGTTGAAATGCAATAGTCATATCTATAAATAACAAGATATACACATCTGTTGAAAGTAAAAAGGACACATATGTTGAAAGATAATAGACACAACTTTTCACTGTAACATACATCCAAGCCAAAATTCATTCAAAGCATTCTACAAAAAAAGCTTGTTGTATCTTGGAGAGTCTTTATCTGTAAATCTCTATAGTAGGCAATAACTCTTTAAAAAAGTGTGTTACAACACGCTTGAAGCTTACTTTTTCCCTTTTTTTCTCTTATTAATTTTCTAATAGTCTGAAGTCTGAAAAGTCTCAACTCTCAAGATAAAAAATTTGCTTCATTGATAGTTCTTATTAGAAAATAAGGAAAGAAGAGATTCCTGAAAATCTTAATTTAGAGATAGGTACTTGCTTTTAATGGGCTATTGGCATTGCTTGAATGCTAATTCTCTACCAATATATGGCAATGCTAACTTAGAAAATTAAGTTTTGTTTGCTCATTGATTATAGTCTTTAGGCTTTTTTTATTGATGATTAGTGGTAGTTTTGTTTAAAATTCTTGAGATTTCCTTTTCAGTATTTGTGAACAATCCATCCTTCTTGGTTTGGAATAGAAGCAAGTAAATGAAACAACAATAAATATACAGAAGTCGGATCTGGTAGCTAAATGCTATTTCAATTGCAATTCCGTGAGTCTCTATTTTCTTCCACACGGCAACAAGTGTTGTTGGTAGTCGATTTGACAAATGCTTTTAATCTACTGGTTCATTTAATACACGCTCTTACCTTGCGTGTGATATAGTCTTCATTCTCGTTTTACCCTTGCTTTAATCACTATCACCTATCTCTTCGCATAAACACAAAAAAAAGAAAAAATAACTTTTGTAAGAAAACAACCTTAAAAATCCTCTGTCTTTGTCTTTTGCCATTCCCAGAAAATTCTTATAGATTAATCTTCTTCTCATATGATAAGTATGTCTAATTAATAATCACCCACTTAAACCTCCAAAACCACTAAGCTAGGAGACTTAAAGCCAAGATTTAGTAATTATTATTGTTGTTATCAGTTTATACTCTTAAAGAAGCCAACCGAAACCTTGATCATCCTTTGACAAACTCTCAATCATCAACTTTTCTCCTGCACAACAGTTGGGCCACGTAATTAGTACACATTGCAATTATTTTGCAACAAATTATTTTTAAAAATAAATTTGCAACAATTTTAGTTAGAAATTAAAAAAGTACCTGCATTATGTAATGGATTAATTAATTATAAATTAAATTTAAACTGTTTCGATTTCTTTAAGCTATCTTAGTATTTATATTCTATGTGTGATGTTTACAATGTTAATAATCACTTAAGAATTTAATTAATAAAAATAATCAATTTTCAAAGTAAGAAATTCAGTTCTATTTACTCAATTTGTATGAGCTTTACAACATTGAACATGACAAAAAGAATTTTTTTTACTTTTTCAATAATTGTTTAGAGTAATATATTTTTTATTTTTATTTTTATTTTTTTTATTTTGTGGTTATGGGAAAGAAATGAAGGAAGGAAAGGGACGGAGAGAAATGAAAACATGAGGTTTTGATAGGGGAATGGTTGGTTGCTTTTAAAGAGAAGCCTAAGAAATTGAGTGAAAAGAAAAATAGAAAAAGAAAATCAATTAGACCTTTTTATTAAAATTGAAAAAAAATTTAAATCATGTATAAAGAATGACTAAGACAGAAAAAACAGTAATATTTTATTCAAAAGCATAACAAAAAATATAAAAATACCAAAAAGCAGATAAATACATGTCTTTAATTTAATATATAATAAAATACTAAAAAGCCTCTTTTAAAAAGATATAAAATGACTATAATACGTGAGAATCATGATGGTTTAAATTGAAAAAAATCCAAATCATGAGTATGGAATGACTATGAAATACATAAAACAGTAATATGTTGTTAAAAGCATAATAAACAAAATCAAAATACCAAAAATATTGACAAACACGTGTTTTGCGTTTAATAAATAGTAGAATATCAAAAAGCTCCTGTTAAAAGATATAAAATGACTATAAAATCCTACAAGTGAAAATCGTTATAGTATAGATGGAAACAAACTCTAGTCTTTGGGATTCATGCACTTTGTATTTCTAGAATCCCGCAATGAAAGGTTATCTTCTGAGTTTGTAATATGAGAATCTTTATTACCATCTAACTGTTACTCGAATTGTCTCGTTGGTGCACAAGGAGGGATGGAGACTCAACCAGAGACGCAAGACTCGTCATCCAAGGCGGAACCTCTCAACGATTGGCTTCCCATTACCAAGTCTCGCAATGCTAAGTGGTGGTACTCTGCCTTCCACAATGTCACTGCCATGGTTGGAGCCGGTGTTCTGGGTCTCCCATATGCTATGTCTGAACTTGGATGGTACGTTCTGATATTCTCTTTCTATGTGAACAAAGATTCAAACAGAGAAAACAAAAAATTGAAGGGTTTAGCATGTAGGATTAAACCCATTTATATGTTTATGCCTTTGTCATTTTTGCTTTGTACAGATTTCATGGTTTGATTATTGCATGAGAAAATTTCTCAATTTCTCTTCGTGATGACTTTTGAGATCCAATAGCATATGTTTAAATGTTTTCGTGCAAAAATAAAATGACTCGAAAATTTTCATCAGGGGTGCCGGTACTGTTGTCATGATATTGTCATGGGTGATCACTCTATATACTTTATGGCAAATGGTGGAGATGCATGAGATGGTTCCTGGGAAGAGATTCGACAGGTACCACGAGTTGGGGCAGCATGCCTTCGGTGAAAAGCTGGGGCTGTGGGTAGTGGTGCCTCAGCAATTGATGGTGGAAGTTGGTGTCAACATTGTGTATATGGTCACAGGTGGAAAATCATTGAAGAAGTTCCACGACACCATTTGCCCTAACTGCACAGACATCAGAACAACTTACTTCATCATGATCTTTGCATCAGTTCACTTTGTGCTCTCTCATCTCCCCAGTTTCAACTCCATCACCGCTGTCTCTTTTGCTGCTGCTATCATGTCCTTTAGGTACACTACATATCGTCTTTCAACTTTGGTGAAAATAGCCTATAAGCTCCCGTTAATCAATTAGCTAGTATTTTTTTGTTGATCTACCAGCTATTCTACAATTGCTTGGGCAGCCTCCATTCACAAAGGGGTTCAGCCAAGTGTGGTGTACACTGACAGGGCCTCAACCAGTACAGGGCAAGTGTTCGGCTTCTTCAGTGCTTTGGGAGATGTAGCCTTCGCCTTCGCTGGGCACAATGTGGTCTTGGAGATTCAGGCAACAATCCCATCCAGTCCGGAGAAGCCATCCAAGAAACCCATGTGGAAAGGGGTGATTGTGGCCTACATCGTGGTTGCCTTGTGTTATTTTCCAGTTTCCTTCATTGGCTACTGGGTGTTTGGGAACAGTGTCGAGGACAACATTCTCATTTCGTTAGAGAAACCCGCTTGGCTTATTGCATCTGCTAACTTGTTCGTTGTTATTCACGTCATTGGAAGTTACCAAGTAAAAGATTCGCCCCTCTCTTTCTTTCCAATGTGAATTTCATCTGCAAGATGTTCTCTTCATTTTTCTCTCTTTGTTCATTGCAGGTCTTCGCAATGCCAGTTTTTGACATGGCAGAATCATTTCTTGTCAAGAGGATGCATTTCACCCCAAGTCTAATGCTTCGCATCATTACACGCACTTCCTACGTTGGTAAGTAACACTGAAGTGGTAATAAATATAAATCTCATATCAGATACCGTAAGATATCCATAAACTTCAAATGCAATAATGGGGAGAAAGATAATCTGACAATGACGATTACAATCTGTCTTCTGACTTCGCAGCCCTTACCATGTTCCTTGGAATGACATTCCCTTTCTTTGGTGGACTGCTAAGTTTCTTTGGGGGCTTTGCTTTCGCTCCCACATCGTACTATGTAAGGCATCAGTAGTAACATCAAAACTTTTCCCCCTACAACACCTTTAACCTCTATATTGCAACTGCCGAAACCATCTAATTTGTTAATCAACTTTGCAGCTTCCTTGCATCATATGGCTTGCCATTTACAAACCGAAAAGATTCAGCTTGTCATGGATCACAAACTGGGTATGCTCTTTGTGATTTTGTGGAAACTTAATTATAATTTTGATTGTCTAAAGTATCCAATCAGATAATATATGTTTCCTTGGATTTGGCAGGCGTGCATCATCGTTGGTGTACTTTTGATGATATTGGCTCCAATAGGTGCATTGAGGCAGCTCATTCTTCAATCCAAGAACTTCAAGTTTTACTCTTGATTAAACTGTCTTCAAAGAGAAAGATCAGGGAGTGCATCAATCGACAAGCTGCATGCTGATGTGCTGTTTAACATTGACCCTTTTTTCCTTTTCCCATTTTGATTTTGTTTAAAGATTAGAGACCTTGGTTAATGTAGTAAAAGTACATAAACTAAGTTACTAGCTTATGCTTAGGTAAAGTTGCGAATATGACACATAAACAACGTGTAACATCTTCCTTATTTTTTTTTTTTAATTTCGATTGTGTTCTAATATTGATTATGTATTAAAATTGCAGATATATGACATAATATTTAAAAAAAATTTAAAAATTTATTATATACTTTTGTTAGATAAACCCTTATAACTAAATAATTTTTTTTTTCCTTTTTGTAAGATTTAAACAAACTTTATCCATTTCCCTCCACACTCACACTCACTCTTTCGCTAGCAAAATGCAAATCCTCGAAACCCCTCGTTTCTTCTCTTTCCCTAAACCCTTAAACCTTTCCGCCCCAAAACCCTTATCTCACCCCCACCATTTACCATACTTCCCTTCCTTGTTCAAAACCCATTTCCCCAAAACTTCAACCACCCCTAAATCCTTCAGCTCCGACGAATTCCCCGTCGATGAAACCTTCCTCGAGAACTTCGGCCCCAAAGACAAAGAAACCGAAGACGAAGCCCGTCGGCGCAACTGGATCGAACGAGGCTGGGCCCCATGGGAAGAAATCTTAACCCCAGAAGCCGATTTCGCTAGAAAATCCCTTAACGAAGGCGAAGAAGTCCCTCTCCAAACCCCTGAAGCCATCGAGGCTTTTAAAATGCTAAAACCTTCTTACAGGCTTCAAAAAATGAAAGAAATGGGGATTACAGAGGATGAATGGTATCGAAAGCAGTTTGAGATAAAAGGGGAGATTCCAGACCCTCTGGAAACGTTGTGGGCAGGGCCATTGGCGTTGAGACACGTGCCGCCACGAGATTGGCCGCCGAGGGGATGGGAAGTGGATAGAGTGGAACTGGAGTTTATGAGGGAAGCGCATAAGTTACAGGCGGTGAGAGTTGATTTGGAGAAGGTGGAGAAGGAGGTGATAACTGGTGAAGCGGATATGGGTTTGGAGAGATATAAAGTTTTTTTGAAGCAATATAAAGAGTGGGTTGATGCTAATAAGGATAGATTGGAAGAGGAGTCTTATAAGGTTTGCATTTTATTATATATATAGTCTTCCTTTTTCATTTCGAGTGTGTTTAGCATGTTTTCTTTTTTGTGGGTTTAGTGTGTGTGTTTATACTAAGTTGATTTGGGGGCAAATTTGGACATTTTGGTTAATTATTTTGTAATGGGGTTACAAAGAAGGTTATATTTAAAGTACTTTATTGTGAAGGCATTTAAACAAATTAGTATCTAAATTTTAAAAGTGTGATCGAAGGAGAATGATTAGTTGATGCTGAAATTTTTCTTTAAGTTTTGAGTAAGGTTGACATGTTAATGAGTTTCTGTGCTGGGTTTTAAATTGGGATAAAGATTTGGTAATGTATGAGCAATGTATGTATGTATAATTGAAGAAGTTCACCTCGTTAAGCCATTATATTCTGCTGTTTGGTGATGCAGTATGACCAAGATTACCATCCTGGTAGGAGAAAAAGAGGGAAGGACTACAAAGAGGACATGGTAAATTGAATTGCCAGGTTCTCTTAGTTTATAAGTATTAGTTTTTCCTTTTGTTCTTTTCTTATATTTTGTTCCAAATTACTTAATGGTATTGATGATGATCAATTTATTGCTTTTCCACAGTATGAGCTTCCATTTTATTATCCAGGACAGGTAAGTTTTCCAGGTCATTGTTTCTTATTGAAATACTTTTTAAGTTTTCAAAGATCACATTAGAAAGAACAGGTGTATGATGGATTATGTCTGTGCAGCTCTGTGAAGGCAAAGTGACTACTTTACACCTATATCAAGGGGCATTTGTGGACATAGGTGGTGTATATGAGGGGTAATTTTCATCACCCAATCTAATTTAGTTGTACCAATGACATTGTTAGTTTAAACAATAAACTTTAGCATCTTCTAAGTTTTGTTTTTTCTTTTTCCTTAAATCAGTTTTGCATAACTTTCCCCCCTAGTGTCTCCTAAAGGCTTTTGTAGCTGAAGATCACATGTACCCAAAAAGAGAATCTCTCCTAAAGGCTAAAATTCCCTATTTGTTTTTGCTTTTTTCCAAACTTCAAATATGTGTAGGTTTGTTCACAATTTTTTAATGTGCAGTTACTAGGACATTGACTTGGCAGAAACTGTGTAATTCTCACCCATAATTTTGCAAAGTAGTCATATGGTATTTTGCAATTCCAAATGGCATACTTAAAGACATAATGTAAATTCTGAGAGGCATTATTTATTTAACAATTTGATAACTAATGATTTCAAATTGTCAGCAGTAGTGGATTAATGGCTATTGTATAGGCTTGATTCACAATAGCTGATTTAGTATCAACTGCTTCAATAGATTATTTATGATTTCACACATGATTATAAGTTTATTTGTTTAACTATGAAGGTCTCCTACTAGATTTATATATTGAATTCATATTTCAGGTGGGTCCCAATCAAAGGTAATGATTGGTTTTGGATCCGCCATCACATAAAAGTTGGTATGCATGTTATTGTTGAAATTCTGGTGAGTATTTTTTGGCTTTTCCTTTTTGTGTTAATTATTTCTATTAATTCCTTTTTCTGCTACTAAACTTCATATTGAAATTAATTATGTATCTGTTAATTGTATGTTTCACCTTTTTCTTTTATTTCATCTTTTCTGTAGGCCAAACGAGATCCTTACCGGTTTCGGTTTCCTATTGAAATGCGTTTTGTCCATCCTAACATAGATCATCTGATGTATGTAAATATGGTAGTTCTTTCTTTCTTCTTTATTTTCTATGTGGTATAACATGGGATCTGATTGGTATTTAGTGCCGCTAGGAGTTCATGCTGTTGTTAAGTTTATTAATTCTTGTATGCTTTCTCATTGTTTTCTGACATTTGCATCCTTACTTCCAGATTTAACAGATTTGAGTTTCCACCAATATTTCACCGTGATGAGGATACTAATCCAGATGAATTACGGGTATGTACCTGCTAGTCTAGTTTTTGTCCTTTTTATCATTACTGTGTCAAGGTTTTCTATATCTGAACTGAAGTCGTTGAGACCATCTTTTATGGTGTCAACATGGTGCAAATCGGATTTGCTTCAACTTTAACATGTTCTATCTTGATTTGTTTGGTTTTTTAGAGTCTTTCTCAGGGTAATGGGTGTTGGGTTTTATCTAACACACATTTTATGGACTGTATTCCTTGTTACCATAAATTTGTTGGTTTTCTCTAGATTGTTCACTAGGAATCAGACTTGTGGATGTTTACTCCTCTATTGATGGTTTTGTCTTATCTAATTTGTTTGTTTGGACGGTGGGGGACTTTGATTCTACCATCCTGCAGCTTGTTGTTCAGGTTATTTAATTAAAGTATGACTTCAAAAATTAGTGCAACTGAGATATTTATTATCCCCTAGTGACTTTGTTTACAGGTTTTTTTTTTTTAATAGTTGGGGGAGGGGGGATTCAAACTCTGCTCTTTAAGCATGGGGATCTTTCACCAACCAATGAGCTAAATGCTCGGGTGCAACTTTGTTTACAGATTGTTCTATTAATTATTTTGAATTTCAAATTTCTACCATCATTATGCTTTAATTTCTTATTGTTCCCTTTGCAGCGTGATTGTGGAAGACCTCCTGTTCCTAAAAAATATCCAGGAACAAAACCAGAAGAGGAGCCATTGTTGTCAAATCACCCTTATGTTGATAAGGTAATTTGGCAGCAATATCTTTGTTGCTGATCAGTGTTTTAGATATGAATGCATCTTTTTTCATCTTTTGGTAGGACTGAAACTCTTTTTTGATAGCATCGTTCTAAACCTCTGGCTAATATGCTTCTTAATAGTTTGTTCATACGTGTGCATCAGTGCATGCCGTGGGTGTGGGCATTCCAAGAACTGATGCATCTTCTTATGACAATATTTGTACATACCAGTGTTAACAATGGCTGTCGAATGCTATTATTACCCACCTGACTACTTCTGTGAGCCACATATTATCATTCTTTGTACTAGATCCACTTTTGTCTTTTATGCAGTTGTGGCAGATCCATGTTGCTGAGCAAATGATTTTGGATGATTTGGAGGCAAATCCTGAGAAATATAAAGGTAAAATGTTATCAGAATTAACTGATGACGATGATTATGATGAAGAGAACAATGTTCAATACACCAAAGCATATTACAAGAAAAGCCTAATACCAAAAATGATTCTGGTGAGCCCTTTTTTTCTTTTATACTCACCAACTTATCTGCCTATATCTACCTGCTAATGGTTTTATATATCGACAGAAAACAAGTGTTAAAGAACTTGATTTGGAAGCTGCCTTAGCTGAGCGTGAGGTAATTATTCCTTAGCTGTTTGCAACCTCTATTCTTGATTTTTTTTTTAAGTTTTGCTCTAATCTTTCAGAAATTTCTTTTTACCACCTTAGTGCTTGGTAGTTTATGTGAAAGATGGACAGTCTTCTGTTCTTAAAATATTCTATGAACAAGGCATGTGCTTCTTGTGAACTAGAATAAGATGCAAAGCCTGAGAATTGTCCAGGTGGTCACTAATCAAAAGTGATTGTGCTCATTTTATGTATACCTTACACACAGGTCACACAATTTCATAAATATTCATACTGTCAATATGATATTGCTTTCCAACCGTGAAGTGTGAATTCTTTTATAAATCTACAAAGCCGTTGGGAGTTTTCTGTTGTTTTTTTTTTTTTAAAAGATAAAGAGTTTCTGTGGTTGTGGTCTTTAAGTTACCATATAATCAAACTTCTGATGGAGATTTATTTTTTTCCCTTGAATCTGATACAGCTCCATAATAAACTTAGAAGTGAAGCAAAAGAAAGAGGAGAGGGATATAAAATCAGCAAGTTTAGGCGAAATATTGAGATGGATGAATATGATTTTATACATTGGCGTCGATCATTTGAGGAAAGAGAAGCTTTGATCAGAGACATCAGCTGGTATTCCCATTGGTCTTATTCCTTCCTCTTCTTTTTACCTATAGGTTGTTAACCCCACAGCTGACCTCTGTTATGCTGTTATGCTCCTATATCAGGATGTCAACCTTCAAATCAAATTAAACTGTAACATGACCTCCCAATTTTGAATTTTATTAATACTGAACTGAAGGGCAATCTTGTTTTCGATCGCAACATACTAAACATTTTTCTAGGTAATGAAACTAATTCTAACAATATAAAGGGCGGTCAGTGATGCTATTTGCCTTTAGATTTGGCATTTACTCACCTTTCTCTTTTTGAAAAAATTAACATATAAAGTTGCAAATGCTGAATAAATGAAGTTTTCTTGCCATCCATGCATATCACTCTTTTATAGGTACCTCGTCTTTTAATTGTGACAAACATGCCATACATTATTCATTACTAGCTTATTTTCTTGGCTTAAAGTAGTGCAATTTTGAGTGATGGGACATCAAGAAATTTGTGTCATAGAATCTTAACCATGCATTAAAATAGAGTTAGCTTTTAATCCATGGTTCTTAGGATCAGGTTAATATAATAGTCTTTCACTAAGTTTTGATCTTGTCATGATACTGTTTTGATTAAACCTTGTTCCATTATGTATTTGATTGAAGAACTACATTGATACATGGCTTTGCTTTTGGCTGAACTTTCTTGTTGACACTTTGGAGCACTTACAATTACACTGGAATTGCTTTCATATATAAAGCTAGATCCCTCCTTCTGCTTCAAATCATTCTGCATTGCATCATTTGTACCACTATCTAGGTATAGCAGGTAGTTTTGAACATATGTCTATAGCAGTATGCTTCCTGTATCTTATTCCCACTGAAGCACTTATTTTTCACAGCCGTCAAGCTCTTGGTTTGCCATCGGAAGAGCCAGGAAGGTATAAAGATGCCAGTTATTTTGGGAAGGATCAATATGATCCTTCAAATGCCTTGTATCGATATGACTACTGGGGAGAACCCAAGAACTCTGAAAAGAGTAAACAAGAGCGGATGACAGATGCCCACAACAAGTCTATTGTAGGCAAGGGCACTGTTTGGTATGAAATGTCTTATGATGATGCCATCAAGCAGAAAATAGAAAGAGAAGCCCATTCAAAAGGAACAATGCAGAAGGAGGCTGATGAAGATGGGAAAAGACAGCAAGACAGCGATGATGAGGATTTTGACTACAGCATTCTGAGTGAGTCTAGTTTCGGGTTCCCAAATCAGCCTCTTGTTAATGGGACTGAATCTTCTAGTATAACAGATGGGGGAATGTTTGAGAACTAACGTTAGTGGAGGATCATACTCGTACACAAGTTGATGTATAGGTTGCAGGTAAGAGCTGAATTTACGACGGGTTGATGAGATGAGATGAGATTTTGATTGTAATGCTTGTCATATATTTTGGAAAAAGAAAATAATAAACAAAACCAGAAATCAATTGCTGACAACTGCTGGATCATCAGTCTGAGCCTGTGGTTTAGAGAGAGTAAAAGCAAGCGATGAACAGGAAAGAGCAAGAGAGAGGATGCATTGTTCAAGCATTAATGCAATCATTCAACCTAGCCAGAATCGGGGAGGAATTTAGGCATAAATGGATGAGGCTGTATGTCAGGTATTAAAAAGCTTGGGATTATGTAATAACAACGGAAAGAATTCCAGCAATGGTGACCACAAGTTATCATGGAAAAAAGAATGGAAGCACTGTGATTCCCATTTTCTCTACTTGAAATATGTTACAATTCGCCGACCCACCTCTACAATTGAAAATACACTCCCGAGTCCCCCCGGAAGACCGACATCCAAATCGAAGATAAGGGTAAAGCAATGACAAGAGAAACAATTATAATAACTAAAAGACAGAATTCCCCCCAACACCTCAATGCATCAGAAACATCTAGCTTTCTTTTTACAAACAAAACGAACAAACAAACCCAAAAAAAACACCTGAACTCTGATGCTTCCTATCAAGCACAATCCAACAGCTAGTCAATCACAAGATCCGCAAGCCAGTAGCAATCCATGCTAAACACCAACGCTGCTTCTGCGGTCTTCATTTCTCTGAAGGTTGTGCTTAGGGTGTCAAAAGGACCATTGCATAGAATTTTTTAGAACCGCACTTACATTCCACTCACCAAGCAATGGGAGAAAACACAATCAATCAATTTCTCCTTCCTCTACATCATTTAGTGGCTCTGGAGCACTTTGGGGAGGTTCATCTTCTTCGTCCTCATCATCCGCCTTCATGTACAATCCTAGCTGTTCAAGGGGATTACTTCTCCCCTGGAGTTTGAAACTTCCCAACCCATTTTGAGAATGACTTGGGCTTGTCTCCTCCATGAAATTAGGCAGATGTTCTTCATTGGAAGTCCTAAGCATTTCAAAATCTTCCATAAATTGACTGTTCTCATTGATATCCACTGTCTTCTCCATCTGCAAAGAGCATAAAGTTTTTAGTGGCATTAAGATAAGGCCGCACCATTTCTTCTGCATAACAATGTTATCCCTATTTACCTTTAAAAGTGCCTGGCGGGCAGCTTCTCTTTCCCGCTCCCTCTTCCTCTTCGCTTCAGCAGCGGCTTCTGCTTCAGCTTTTCTCCTAGCCTCTTCCGCAGCCTTGGCTTCTGCTTGCAATCGTGCTTTTTCTGATAACAAGAAAAAATAAGGAAAGGGGATTATAGAGCTTCAGATATTCAAAACAGATTTCTACATTTGCTTTCAATTAAAGGAACATTAGTGCAAGAAAACATTTCAACAATGATACAAATTCCAAACCTTCTCTCTGCCACCTTTCAAGTTCCTCCCTCTCCATCCGCAGTTTCTCAGGATCACCCTTTTCACCCTACACTCAATCACATTATAAATTACCAACCGGTGAGTCAGAGTAAACTGACTCTTCGACCACATTGCACAAATACAATGGCTACTGGACTAACCTTTTCAAGAGCCTTTTCTCGAGCTTTAAGTATGGTGTCGGCAAAACGCTTCTTTATTATAGCTGCACGATAGAGCTTCTCGGGGGAGACTTGCCTCTCAGCAGGAACACTCTCCTCTATTATATTACATTATTATGGGTGAGATGAAGCCCCAAAAGTTACAGTACAGAGCTTAACTATGCTTACCATCTCGGTGCCCTTCTGCCTCAACAGCACTAGGCTTATCATGAAATTTTAAGTCAACTTGACCCAACTCGTTTACAGACTCTGTACAAGGCACAGATGAATGGGCATTTTTATAAGACATTGACCCAACACAGATTTTCAGGGGGCATGCATGATGCATAGACAAGAATGAGAAACTCACGATTTCCATCTTCAGGAACAGCAATACTGCCGTTCTTTGAGTCCACATTTGTTCCTGAATCCAAATTTTCCTACCACATAAGGAGGGGAAATTAGCCTTAGAACAGGGATACACCATGTCTCAAACACACCCACTGAAGAGAGAGAGAGAGAGACAGCAGATTCATTTTCAATTCACTAAGACACTCAAATTTTTCCAAATTATCACAACATAGAGATACCTTTGCAGAACTTACAGGAACTGAAGCTTTAACAGCATCTGATTCACAACCAGATGAACTACCAGAATCTGATTCTGAAAGAAAAATGTCGAATGAAAAAGAAAGATTTTAAAAGAAACAACATATGGTTACAATTGCTGTGAAGCAGGCTCCACTTAAAGTAAAAAATAACACACAAAAGCCTAGTAGTCTTTTCCAATTTTTGGATGCCAAGACAGAATTAGTCGGAGATAAAAGTAAATAGGCAACCAAACATATATATATATATTTTGTGGGTTGACTCGCATAGCTCCAAATTATAGTTACATCACCAAGTGAAATGTAGTAAATTATCCAAAAAAAAAGAAGACATGAAGAAGTAGAAGCTAGGCAACAAATCTCATCAAGCAAAACTAATTTAATAAAATGGTTCCAATTTAAGAAACTCTACTCTCAAAACCAGCAAACTGAAACCACCTTGAGATCCAGTTTTAGTGACTCATGTTCCCATAAAGGCCTAACGTAATACATCAAACACTTGATAGCAAGAGTTTCACTGTCAAAGATCGACCAGCGACTTGGTAAACATTACTCAAACTAGCATCATAAACAAAGATGGCATGTTACCAAAACTATTCCTCTTTCTTTCTTTCATCTCAAATATGATGCCCCAAAAATATTCAAGAGTCATCTATGAAGGCTCACCCTACTCTAAAAAATCAAAACAACCAGTGTTACCTAAAAATCGGGGACAAAGATGAACTGAAAGAAAGCCAACCTATGGCTAAGTATGTCAGGATGATTAGATAGTCTGTAAATGAGCAGAATTAACCATTGCAAAATAAGGATTTTACTTGAAGGTTCAACTCCATCAAAGAAAAAATGTCCACATAATATCATTTTCACAAATCAAAAACCAACCCTAAGGATTAAGTTAGATTTGAGTTTCAACATGTTAGGACAGATATGCAAACTTGATAAACAAGGTTTTGCCCTTTGCTCCAAGCAGGAAGTAGAAACCCAAGGATAGCATGGAGCAGCAAAAAATAAAAAACTGTTTTATTAACCAATCAACAACAATGAAAAGTATCAAAGAAAAATTTCAGGCTTGAGAGCAGTTTGAAGTTGCAAACAATGGTCGATAAAAAATTGTTAAAAAGCTCAACACAGATAGGAATATAACATCAGAATGTTTATTAGAGATAACATTCACATAAAACTGCAAATTTTTCATATATGGCAAAGACCAGCAAGACCCTAATCCAGCATATTTCTCATATTAAAAGAGTAACATATATTCCCTATTAAACTTTTCTTTGATGATGAAACAGTGACAGCATGCTCATACACACTCCAGTTGCTTATAAAAGAATCAGTGAGGCTGAATAAATAAACAAGGAAAGGTTAACTATGACACAAACCACTAGAAGAAGAGCCTGATTCACTGCTGGAGCTACCGGAACTACTGCATCTACTGTTTCTATGGGCTAAATCCTTCTCTATTTCTACAGGATGGCAGATAGAAGTAGGATGATCATTTCCACCAACTATATCTACATCCTCATCAACTTGATCATTACCTAATAAGAAAGCAAAAAAAATTAGTTTCTTTGACGATTTGGTTTACTAGCTTACTATCTGCAAATAACCCAGCAATAAACAGATGTACAGAAAATTACCTTTACACGGCTGCATTGATGAGTTGCTAAACCCTGATTCATTATGAAGCTGCAACAGGGAAAAGACATAGCAAAATCATAAATGCCATTATCACATTCTGGATAGAAAAAGAACCAAACAAGGATGAGATAGAGACATGGGAATACCTCCATTTCGCAAGGCTCAGCTTTTGCCTGGTTTTTCTGCTTCTCCAGCAAATAATCATCCAAAAGTTTTCGCAATTTGAACAAAGTTTCACCACTGAGTGCATCAATATCAATCTCAATCTCATCCTCCATTTCACCTTCACTAGAACTCTGTTCTTTAAGGAAGTCAACAATGTTTTCAGGCAATTCTCCCAACAAAGCCTCCAACTCTGCACTCAAATTATGCCTCTCCTGATCAGTCATGATCTGTCTAACAGGGTCTGGCTTGACCACAGTGTCTTTTGGGTTTATAGTTTTCCTTTTGTATAAACTGCCACTATTTTTGTCAACTTCTATAGGTGCAGTTGCTGTTGAAGGTACAGCATCTATATCCATGGTCACAGGAAGCTTCTTTTCTATAGCTTTCCATCTCACTTCAAAATATTTACTTAGCGTCTCAGCCATGTAGTGGACATCATTTCCAGGTGGGTTATATGTCAATGCATTTGAGAAAGTAAGGCGAACATCAGCAGCAAAGTCCAATGGGCTCAAATACTGTCCTGAAGCTAACTTCTTCTTCACAGTGCCCAAATCCATTGGTTGCCTGATGACAGTAAAATAATCCGGAATGTTCAACTTCACCACATCAACAGGGTTGTTAAAAACCCAACCAAAATTATGTTGCGTCAAACGGTTAAGCAAAGTCTCACATTGCTTCATCAAATGAGCATGCAAATTACTCACTGCCACAGTTGGCTTCACAGTTTCAAAACGCTTGGATGTGCTCTTTTTTATGCAGGCTCCATTACGTCCTCCAAAAGGTCGCTTCCTCCCTTGCGAACTCAATACTCCTGCTGAATGATGAAAACTCTCTACTGGAGGCCCCTTCTTCCCATCATTACAGCTCTTGTTATTAGTAGACAGTGATAAACCAACAACACTCATGTCCAGAGAAGCAACTTTTTTCTGTAGCACCCGAACCTGTTCAAGCTCCATCTTTAATCTCAACTCCAACTCCTTTCTCTCAGGTTGTGACATCTTAGACAACGACAAAACTTGCGTAGGGACACCAAAATTACCAT